GGACTTAAAATTATCTTCTTCTGTATGTGTCTCGAACTCATTCCACTCCATTTATGCTCTTTTAACTGTTCTTCTACTTTTTCTTCTTTATAGTTTGCTTTTGTAAATAGAACTTTGAACTCTGTGGCCCATGATTTGGTTGGAAGGGCCAGTTTTTTTATGAAGAAAGATTGTGGTTGTCTATCCTTCCTTTTTTGAACATTTCAGGATGTAACTGTGTTTTGCTGTTAGTAGTAGCTAGCTTTTGGTTTTATCAAAAGATTCTATGGCTGAATTGCTGAACCGTTTTAACTTGATGAATGGGTCAAACTCACAAATCAAATATATATTAATAGAAAATTTTATTTTCTTTTTTCTTCTTGGTAATAACAAAATATTTTTTATTTGTAAGATATAATATTTGTCTTTTAATAAGATAAATATACGATATTAGAAACATACCCAGAATTTCCATAAAAGTCTCTTTTCTCTTTATAATTTATATATTATATAGTTTTATTTTTTTTAATTTATGATATCACATGTTGATTAACTTGACCCAAATGGTTGACCTTGTCAATTGATGGCAAAACAGTTTCACTTTCGGTCGATTTTTAAAACATTGGTTAAAATGCATTATATTATTTTTAATAATTAATGAAGTAATTGATTAAGGGAATATTGTAAATGAGTTAGTGGGACTTAGGAATTCAAAAGTTGATATTATTAAAAGTTTGCAATGTAAATGAGACAATTAATGATGATTTTTCCATGAATTTTTTATTGTTTTCATCCAACCAAAAAACCTGACAAATTTTTGAGGGAGTCTTGTGAGTTGGCATAAACCCAACTCTTTTATAAGTATAATATAGATTGCATTGGTCCGGGTCAGTTGGGCTTGAGAAAAAACCCACCCCTTTTTTGGGTGGAGAGCTGACCCAACATTTTTATATGGATTTGGAGCAGTCGGACACTGCAAGGGAGGCAGGCTACTGTACTCCATTTGCTGGGTACGTAGTAAATGCCCAATCTTAATCAAATGAGAAAGATTTCAGCAGAGTTACCAGGTCAAACAAATGGATAGTAAATACAGATTGTCTCTGTTTGTGTGTGTATGAGAGAGAGATTTTATTTTCCGTCTCCCTCTTAGGGTGAGGGTTGGGGGGACCAGAAAAACAAACAAAATGCAATGCATTAGTATATTGTCTTTATAAATTGATGGGCCCCTTTAATAATTAGGGGTGCATTTGGATTGGACTTTTGTCAAAATTTGAATCAAGGTTTAAAATATTGAAACGCTCGATACGTTGATAGAGATGAATCGGTAAGTGTTATTTAGTTTTTTGGTTCAGAGGGGCTGGTTTAAGGTCCATCCATCCCTTGAACCGGTCAAAACCCCGATACTTATTGGCCGATATGGGCCGATAAGTATCGATATTTTGAACCTTAATGTGAACTAAAAATAGTGTAAAAATGCTAACTTGGACCAACCTAAGTTGCATCTTTATCACTGCGTTGTATATTCCCCCTCTCATTCTACCACACAAAAGAAAAATAAAAAAAATGCAATGCATTAACCATTTAAGCCATTGGATGGACCATGGTTCAAGTTGGGTGTCATAAAAGGATGAAAAATTCTATTTAATAGTCAACATATTTTTCCAATTGATCAGCTCTCATTTCTTAATTTTTTTACCTTTTTTTTTCTTTTATTTTAGTCTTGCAATTAATTTGTTGATACACATTATGTACTTAGAATTATAATAATTGTGCTAAAGGCAAAGACTACATTACCTTAAAAGGCTTGAACAACTACAAATTTTGTGTAAATCTGGGCAGATGATGGTAGTTGGTAGGGACCTAACTTAATTATTCATTTATTAATCATGTACTATTTACAGAGTAAGGTAAATTGCACAAAAAAATCAATGGTTTCTAATACCTTGAAATATCTCTCTCTTATTACAAAAAAGAAAAAAGGAAATATCTCTCTCTTGAGTTTTCTGAAATCACACTGCTTTCACCTTTAGCTTTAATGGAAAATCCCTAGCATTATTGAAAGAGGACTCATTCACATGGTGAGGGACTGTCAAACTAAAGGTGGCCAAAATAGGACGGCTGATGTGGCACTGTGTATACATCATGAATAGACATGTTTTTAAGACTATTCATTAAATGGAAATTGCAACACCTTTCTTTTTCTTTAAAAATGTCAATAATCTAATTTTGTGAGCCCCTCTTCCTACATCCTTATCTATATTTATGTTCTAGATGGAGACGCAGATCTGCCCCTCACATAGCGTGCCTCTCATACACACATCCTACCATGCATTGGGAATATTTCCCATACTTGTAAGTTATTTTTCATGGGAGATGTTCTCAATGCACGGTGGATGTATATGTGAGGCGCCCAAGTGTGGGGAGAAGATCCCAGTCCGCTCTAGATGTGTCAAATTTTGAGTTTACATCTGCCCCCAAAGAACACGTATGCCCCAATGCACATATCAGTGTGCATTGAGAACATTTTCCGTACTTGTCATTGAGAGATGTTCCCAATGCGCGGTTAGGATGTGTTGTGAGATGTTTTTGGGATGCTTTCAAACCAAAGAAGGTTTCAAACTGTATAAGTGTAAATTTATAAAAAAGACTGTGTAAGTGTAAAATCAATATATATATATATATATATATATATATATATATATATATACACACAAATAAGGAAAGTACTTTTAGCTCGCCTTATTTAATTGAGACCGTCCTTTTTACCAAAGGATGAGAAAGTGGAAAACTTTAAAAAAAAAATAAAGAGAATATGAGAGAAGAATGTTTTTTTTTTTTTGTATGTGTGTGTGGGGAGTATGGGTGGCTTCAATCTAAATATCTGGTTATTCGAGCTCGGCTCACTAATAAACTATCAGGCTCGAGCTCGATCTTGATTCAACCTAGAGACTTGAGATCGAATTTGGCTCGAGTCAAAAGATCAAAAGTTTGAGCTTGGCTCGGCTTGAGCTCGACTATGAATTAAATGTTTTATAAAAATAAAAAATACATATAAAATTTATTTTTTATTTGACATATAAAAAATTAATTATTATTATATATATAAATTAAAATTTTATGTTTTATGTATATATATATATATATGTAAAAGCTCGATTATGCTCGCAAGCCTCTCAAAGCTCAATTTAAACCGAACTAAACTGAACTTTTCACGAACTGAACTCGAATAACTCATGAAAAACTCAATTCGTGACCACACCCCCACTGAGGAGAGGGTTCTTAGTGGAATATGAAAAGGAGATTGCAACACATCATCCTACGTAACTCATTTAGAAAACACTTACTAATTAAGGACTCATGTGTTGGTATAATTGGTTTAGGAAAGTTACTTACAAAACTTGATGGTAAATAAGAAAACTTTGTCTTCTACTGTATGTATTAATACCAAATTTCGATGTTAAGACCATTTGTTGTGCTGGTCATTGCATCATTTCTATGCCGCCTCCTCAGTAATTTTTCAAATGACAAAACTTGGTGGTAATAATCTCTTGGCCTATGTTTGGTTTAACAAAAAATAATAATAAAAAGAGATGAAGTAATTTTAGTCTAAATAACATAAATTTCTTCCTAAAACAAAAATATCTCGGGCCACGTCAAATTGTATTTTTATTCATTTAATGGTGCGTATTTAATAGTGTATGTATCTAATTCGTATTCAAAATGTTATCAAAATTTGTTAATTTTCTCAGAAACCTTTGCTTTGTCCTAGAAATGTGGATTAAGGGGTGTTTGGAATCATGGTGTTGTACAAATATATGTGTTGCTGATCAAATTAGTCAGGGTTAATAAGGTAAATTCACTCTCCAAGTTCCAAAGGTAGGTCAAAGGATTTGAGGTCACGGTAGAGGTGAGCCGAGGACAAAGACTATAGGCCGAAGCGAGTTGTTCTCTCTCTTGAATACGATAGAAACCAAAGACTATAGGTCATCATCTCGATGACAGTTCCTGGAGATCCGAGGCACTACAAAACAATAGGTGTCAGAGACCCCGAGTGGAGACCTAAGGCGGAAACTCCAACACTCAAGTTAGTACGAGACGTAAGGTAAGAGGTGGTACAGACAAAATCTTGGTGATAGTCCTTGGATGCACTAGGTCCCCAGAAGTAAATGCTAAGGAAACAAGATAGGTGTAAAAAATAAATAAGAGAGATGTATAAGAATCATGGGCTCTGGATCCCCTGTCAAGGGAAGGTTACCTCTTATTTATACTTGAACGGGCTAGAAATAGGTGAAGATGAACASACCAGATGAGTGTCATACGAGATTAGGCGACAGGTCCTGGCGGATATGCATAACCATTCCGCGATTAGCTCGAAGGCAGCAAGGCTTCCCCTCTAATGTGGCTGGCGCTGTCAGGCATTAGTGGACTGGACCTGGCTAGCCCTCATCAATATGCAATTGTATTATGCATTTTTAAACCTCTACATATTTGTATTTGCACTCTCACTACAAAAGATACGGATTTTAGCAACGTTAGACAAACGTCGTCAAACCTGCTACAAACGTCGTCAAAGACTTCTCGCAACGTTTGCGCAAGCGTCGCGCCTAAAAAAGTCTAGAAAACTTTCGATGATGTTTATGGAAATTTTCAATGACGTTTGCATTAGTCCAACTTCCTTCGGGCGCACCTGTGGCAAGGTGAAGGGGCAAACTTTTGGTGACGTTTACAACGTCGTCAAAGGCCACACTTTAGTGGACAAGGGAAAAACCTGTCAACCTTTGACGACGTTTGTAAACTTCACCAAAAAATGTCATTATTTCACGACATTTACAAACATCACCAAAAGTTGGCAGAATTTTTTTCCTCCTTGCCTTTAGTGACGTTTACAAACATCTCCAAAAGTTGACTTTTTTTTCCCATTTTGAAACTATCAAAATGAGTTTACATTACCTGCTTTACACCTGATTAATCACATTTATCATTATAACCTTCTAATTGACAATATAAACATATTAAAATATTACAAAAAACTTTAATACTTACAATTAAACATTTATGTTTAAACAAAAAATATAAAAAAAAAACAAGATAAAATATCATCCAAAATAAAGGGATTTCCCCTTTACATTCACATTCTCCTTCTCCCTATTTGTTACATGTGCACGAGAGGACCCTGTACCAAGTACTTGTTCAATGTAATGCACAAGACAAAACAATTATATTATATTTTTGCTAAAAGATATAAAAGTATAAACATAATTTTTCTTGGTTGATATAAAAATAAAATTAAATTTGGCTTATTTTACCGAGTTTGATGATGGACATGCATGATGGGAATCAAGATCTCTAAGTGGAACAGGAGTGTTTTCCGACGCATGGCTCTACACACACAAAAAAAAAAAAAAGTGTATTCAAATATTCTTATCAGAATTGAATAAGAGAAATGGATTAATTATCATAAACATAATATTCAATACAGCTAACATATACAAAGCCACCGAATATGAAGAAATACTTTTTGTTGGCTATTTTGATTTTTGCATCATAATATTTGACTAAATATAAAGTGCACCTCAAGTTTTTTCTAGTGACAACAATTGAAAAGGATCAAATACCAAATAAACTTAACTTGAAATTACCACTTACCTCCACTTAAGCCAAGTTAATATAATTGCTAAGACTTAATTTTCCAAATTTTGACTTTTCATTCATCAATGTATATACAGTGTTGGTTCGGTGCAGCTTATGACATTTTATTATTTGTTGAAAGTGTTAAAAAGCCAATTAATATAGAATTTGTGACACAACAAACTCCCTTACCGATCCTTGAACAGCTTTGGTATCACATGGACTTGAGTGAATGGATCCCAGTTGGACTACTTTATTTTTGTAAAAAGGTAAGGTAAATTTATTAACTGAAACAAAACCCTACAAGTAAGCCGCAAAAGAGGAGCAAACACTGAGAACAAACTCCCATATTACATTACAACTCAAAAATACTTCTGGACCTCAGAAGAAAGTAAATGATCCTCTTCTGCTTGGCTACACAGCTCACGCATCTGAGAAATCAGTGATTGTGAAGAGTGAACAAGGCTTCATAAACAAAGCGATGCATGGAAAAGTCATAATAGGGATATCTAACTCAAGGAGCACCTAAGAACCTCACCCGATCTCAATCCTCTGAAACCCAAGCAGAAACTCAACCTTAGGGGCCAGATGATATTTCAATTCTGTTAAAGTCTATTCTCCAAGAGGTCCAAGGCAAATAAAAAATGATAAACCCACCATGACAACTAAAAGCTTTAATGATTCCCAACTGCCTTATGTTCCTTAATCCTTACTAAACTACCATCTAAACTGAGCTTACCATATGCTCCACCCACATCTGAAGGGCCAAGTTTGCCAATGGAACGTCCACCAAAGTTTGATGTACCCCATCTCTGACTTCCCAATGGAACATATGGAGCTTACCATATGCTCCACCACATCTTAATTTATTATCTTTAAAATAAAGATAAATTAAAAAAAAAAAAAAGTTTTAAAGAAGATATACTCAAACATTAGATGTCGGGTTGGGTTTTGGACTTTAGAATCCATCAATGTGACAAACCTATTCTTATGTGGGTATCGGACACAAAACTTGTCACGTTTCCCATGTTTAAAGATTCGAAAGTTGGAAATTAACCCACAATTGAATAGTTGATATCTACTAAGCAAGTAAAAAATAAATAAAAAGAACGGATATGACATGGGCACTTCTTATTGATCATCTTTCAAGGCAAAAGGAAGATGACAACATAGAACCAAATATAAAATGGTTATTGGTCACCCAACTGCAGCTCCAAAGCAGGGACCCGTGGATTGGTGGATCCGTTTAGGTCAGACAAACTGGGATTGTGAGTTGTGACCAGTCAAGCAACAGAGTTAACTTGGATTCAACTCTTCTAACGTATATAATATATATATATATATAAAATTAATGCAGGTTGCCTGGGTACTGGTAGGTTGAATTCGCAAGGATGTGATCTCAATGTTGATCTCTCCAAGGCCGGTTTTCTGGATCAAGTTTTAAAACATTGATAGAAATAATCTTAGAGAAGAAGGTTGTGCAAGGTTGATCCAAGATTCAAAACAATTCTTGGGAACCCATGATTAAACGAGCACTCTCTACTGTCATTGAGGCCCAGCCCAGTCTAAGCTGAATTTACACCATGGGTGTAGATTTGTGCCTATGCAGCTCTACTAACTAGTTTAAACAGGCACCAACTTTGGCCAATAAATGGCTTGCCTTTGTCTAGTGACCACTCATCATTAATTCTTTAGTAGGCCTCTGACTCAAACAAAATGTCAGAGCTAGTTGTGTCCTAAAACCAAAGGTCAAATCTGCTTTGTACTACAATGCAGTAGGGGCCCCTACTTTACTTACCTATAGATTCATGTGAAAGTGGAACACAGGTTGGGCAGGTATAGGTATTGTATGGTTCACACCCCTATAAAACTACCCTTAGCTACGGTTATGAATTTCCATGATTGATGATTCCCTGCACATATTAGTCCAAACACAGCAAAGGATCGTACACGGAAAGACCATGTGATGAAACAGTACAGACAAAGTAGAAGAGGAAATCCCAGAAAAATACAATGCCCTTTGGCACATCCCTTGAAACACTTTAACACCAAAAGCCAAGAGATGGCTGAAGCTACTACTGCTCTATTGTAGACTTCAACTTCCGACACCTTGCTGCACCCTGGAATTGCATAATTCAGATTAGCTAAACGTGATGGCTGCGTAGAAGGCCTTGGGAACTAATGATAACTCCTCACACCAGTTGTAAAGCATATGGAGCCCACAGTGAGAGGTTGAATGGTTGTGGGTCCCCTGTATTTTATGACTAGTGTGTAGTGTTATGATTGGTTCCACACTTCCACAGCCTGCTTACAGATATTGCTTTCAGCTAATCCAATCTCGGAATTGCACTCTTTCTACACAGACCAACATATATAGCTGATGGAACAGAAAACTAAACCAGCTTCCCTCTTTTCAAGAGATTTTTGACAGAACAAGTCAGTCTTTTTTTATCATCTTATAGCCAATAGAGCAACAGATGAACAAATGATCAGAGGCTCCCAAGGTAGGACATAACACATCCCAGACAAGGGGTGTATTTTCGTCTAACCAGGAGTTTATTCATAGCAAGACACTTCCCCATGCAACCATCTAAGTTAGAAAAGTGAATATTAGATGAAACAGGTGGAGGACAGACAGTTCTACAAGTGAATACCTTCGGTCAAGTTGCCATGTAAGGATGCCACTGAGAACTGCCCATTCTCCACCTTACAATATCAAAGACTCCGAACACCCAACCTAGAATATTCGAAGGGTCTCTCAGCCTCAGACTTGTACCCAAAGCTTTTAATCATAAAAGCAATCACTTCTCAGCTCACATGTGACCCATGGCAAACGCAATTAAGCTCTAACTAGGACAAGGGCTGAGATGTCCTTATCATTTTTTCCTTGGTAGGGACTACGGAGAACATAAACAAAATACAATGATGTAGCTGTCAATAATCAATCACGCAACACTGTCTTAACATTTATTATCACATACAAGACTCCATGAGACAAAGAGAAAAATAGCATTCCTAAATAAACTGAAGGTTGCATAAAGCAGTTCAGTACGCTAAGTAGGAAACAGAGAAATTTCTATGCTGATAATTTCAGGAATAGATGGATCAGTTAGTATATGATCCTAATCCCTGTTCTTTTTTTTTTTTTTTTGAAGAATCAGAGAAAAGATTTATTAAAAGAACAAAGAGTTTACAAAAGAAAGGTGATAAGATATCACCCGAGAAAGAGGCACATCCAAAAGACCCTTACACAGCAACCATAACCAACCCAAAGTCAACACAATGAACTACACCTCACACCTCAGTGTAGTTGCCCTATCTTTTGCAACCTGAGTTTTTCTAAGCAACAGGTCTTGGTATTGAAGCTTTGGTTTATTTCTAAATAAAATCCACCACCCAGCAAAAGAAAAGGAAAATGAAAGAGTGCAGTCAAGGCCTATGACCAAGTTGTGGTTTATCTAAAACTGAACCACAAGACTCATGTAGCTGTCAATAAACAATGGGGTTTGTGATAGCCATACCTGAACTGTGTTGAGCGTGGGGAATGGATCAGGCATAGGCATGCCATATTGTTGTTTCATCCGCTCCATGAATGATTGCAAATGTAGCACATGCGAATTCAGGTTCACCACGTTCAATTGAAGATTGTCCACCTTTTCCCGAAGTTGTTGGTTCTCTTGCTCCAACTGTGTTGTGTATGTGGTGGCAATTGTACTTTGAAAGGTGCTTCCAGACCTTGCAGTACCAAAAGCACGCTTTGGAGTCTGCCCAAATCCCAAACAGCACACCCATGATGGATGCTCATCTCCCAAAACTGCTGCCACTGCATCATGGGGACCGATGGCCTCAACCTGTGTGCCAACTTCTGCTTGCTCTGCCACATATGTTGTCATTTTGGCCTAGAACAATTAAAAAAAGTCATTACTTGAAATGGTCCAAAGTAAAACCATACTAAAATTATTGAATGAATAAATATAAAAACAATACTTACAGAAAGTTCCCTCACCTCAGGATCATAGAACTCCCCCTGGGAGTTTGTATGGGCCCTTTTGAATAGGTCCTCTCGCCTGGGGGGGGGGGGGCGTTGTTTTGTCTGCTCTCCTCCTCCTCCTAAAACAAACCAACTAAATATAAAAGCAATACTTACAGAAAGTTCCCTCACCTCAGGATCATAGAACTCCCCCTGGGAGTTTGTATGGGCCCTTTTGAATAGGTCCTCTCGCCTGGGGGGGGGGGGCGTTGTTTTGTCTGCTCTCCTCCTCCTCCTAAAACAAACCAACTAATTTGAGTCATTATACAAATTAACAAAGAAATAAAAAAATATAAATTATGTTAGTCATCCCACCATCTGATGGAGAAGAGTTGCATAAGAAGTTCGGCCTAAGTGGTGATTCACCTTGTTACGAGCCCTCACCTTGGCCATTGTCTGACACTTTTTCTACAACAATGACAATTTAGTGATATTAATTTACTATGAATTTACCATGTATAGAAAGAAATTACTAAATTACTTTTAACTTATACCTTGCTCTCTGGAGTATCCCAATGTGTAAACGAACGAAGCAAATCACTACGATCAACGTTTCTCTCCCATCGAATCGCCACTGTTATTGCCCTCTCACGATCTGTTGCATATTTCTCATAGTAGGCCTTCTTTATACGATTTCGAAAGCCACAGAGCTACTTCCTAGCCAAACGGAGAAGGTCTTCCTCAGACAACTCATTTTCTATTATAAACTTCTCCTACAAACAATGTCAAATATTAGCAATTAGCATGTGGCAATAATTTATTAAAAACACAATGTAACACTTACTCGAATTGCGTTGTGAACTCTATCCCTCACATCATAGGGTGACGTCCTCCAATCGGTGATATAGGCTAGGACCTTAGAACAGTCCCTCACCAATACACCAATGTAAGACACCAACTCCGGCCGATGTGCCCCTATAGGTCGGCCTAGTTTGTCCATCTTAATAGTTGGAGCTTGTTCTCTGCTCCTACGTTGTACATGGGGCAAGATAGTGCAGCCACGCCTCCCCGGTCCCTGTCGTCTACGGGAGGAACTAGGGGCTTGGAAGGATGAACCTCCTATATCATCCCTAGAATGCTCATTTGTAGGGACGTTCGCCTCTTGGTTTTCTTCATTAGCCATCTGCAGCAATAAAAATTGAAAAAGACCATTAATGAATCCAAACTTAGGGTAATGGTCCAACCTAAAGAAACCCATATTCATTCAGATGGAATTGGGATTGCACTAGATAGCCTATGATTCTGAGCCTATAGCTAAAATTCTACATTCTTGCAAGTGCACTAATAAAGTTTCAAGGGTTATAAGCATGCACTGGAACTTTTCTAAGTTTGTCACACCAAGTAAAATTAAATGTTGGCTGAAAGAAGAAAACTTCTACCACTTTGATTGAATATGAGATACAATTTCAAAATTACAACTGAAATAAGTAAGCTGATCAAGCACCTATGATTGCTGGTTTTATACTGCATAGAAAATGCTTTTGGGCCTGATGAATTCAAATTGGTTGCCCCACCTACTCTTTTCCATGTCCATATACAAGTTCAAGGAACACTACAAAAAACAAGGGTTTCGGTGACGTACTGAAATATGCATTATTCTGAACTCTGAAGATTGTTTTTGACAAGTTTCTATACCAGATTCTACTATATATTTCTTTTGTTTGGGCTCACACAGATCATTGGATTTTGTTTAATTTGTTATGGGTAGACAGACCCTGTTGCTACTAGCTCTAAATCTTCAAGTGAGAATAACTAGCAGGGGCTGGTAATTAAAAGTGTTAATACTTTATGTTTGAAGCAAAGGATGGAACATTTGATATGCGTGGGTTTTGGTTAAGGCTTAGTTTGGGAGAGTACAAATATATAAATATGTTCTATTCAAAATCTTGTATTTGCACTATCCCAAACTGAGACCAACCATCTGATTAACCAATAAAACCGTGACCCAGTGAGCATTCAAGTTTGCTATCTGAGTCTTGCAACTTGTTCTCAGACCCTACATTAAGCTTGGATTTGCTAACTAACGGTCATATAGAGAGATTCCTCTAAGACCCCCAATCCATCCAAATGGCAGTGTTATTAGTTTTGTTGAAAATAAACGAACAACAAAAAGATTCAGGCCAGAACCGTAACTCGATTCCTAAAACAAACACTAGAAGTTAAGAGTTTAAGGACCAATTTGAATCAGTCAGTTTCCTGACACATTCTCTTTTGGGGTTTCTCTGCTTTGAGATAAGGTAGATGTTGTGTTTCATATATTTAGCTGGTGTTTGAAAGTCATCTAAAATGAAATCATTTCAGGTTTCAAATTAACCAATACTAACAACAAATTTTAAATAACTATAGTAAAGCTAACAACATCCATTTAAAAACATTCAGAGTTTTCAAAGAATGGATTAGCACAAACCGAAGCCCAAATGCCGAATAGCCAAACTTATCTGTAGCTGCTGGTCTTTCTTTGAAACTTTGTATTTGAAAGAGAGCAAAAATGGGAGATAGAAACGAGTAGTCTTTCGGTCCTCCAAAATATATATAAAAAAGGGGTCAGTAAGAGAGGGCAGTGACGAAAACGACGATGACTAAGAAGAAGAACGAACCTCTATTTTCGTCTGAGATTAAGCTCTACACTTGAATGGATTTCTCTTTCGTTTTCTCATAAGCTTTGCTTCATTCTTTGACTGAATGCGGATGGAGGGTTTTTTTCCCTCCTTACAAAATTTTAATTACTACCCTATAACAAGGGCCACAATACAATTGTGTTCCCACCAATTAAGTAATTGTTTGTTTTTATGAAAACAAATTAGAAATGGTATAAAAAAGATTCGGTAACCTCGAGCTAACAAGGACCACGATATAATTGTGTTCGTGTCCACTCCACTTCACTTTCCCTTACTTCCATTAACTAGTTAATTACTTAGATATGTAAATAATAAATAATATTAATAATAATGATATTTACAATAATACAAAACACTATTGATTAATTAATTAATCATTCATTTATTTATTCAAGATATTAATAATTAATTAATTATTAAATTTAATAATTAATGAAGATTAATTAATATGATACAATTAATTAATAACAAATGACTAATTATTAATATTAATCAATTAATATTTAATTAAAAAAATAATACAAAACATTTATTTTTTACGTGATTCAATTTATATTGGGTTTAGGTTTGGGTTGATGTGCCCTAGGGGCGCTACCATCAGTTTGGCTCGTTGGTTTTGTAGTTTTTTATATTTATAATATTTATTATAAAATATATAAAAATATATAATAAAATTTATAAATATATATAACATATTAAATTTTAAATAATAAATAATATATTATATATTATAAATATATATGATTATATATAATGCATATTCATTAATTTATAATATATAGAAAATATAATATATATATATATATATATAATACATAAATATATAGAGAATATATAGAAATATATGTATACCGGTCGATTTGTTAACCGAAACCGAACCGATACATTTGGTTTTCTAAAAATACCAAACCAAAACCAAACTGGTAGGTTTGGTTAACCATATTTCTGGTTCAGTTTTCAGTTAGTTTTTTGGTTCTGTTTGATTTTTTGGGTTGGCAACCCTAGGTAGGTTACATTTAGGAATGGCA